TCCTCCGCCGAACTCAACTGTACCCCGGAGGTTGGGTTAGTGGATCCCCATTAAAATGTGGAAAACTATAACGACTTGGAAGTACTTGCGGCAAACACCCTGAAGGAAAACACGTGCGACACTTGGTTCGGACTGGAATCGGTCGAAAACTCTCTTTTTATTTCGGTATCGTAGATCTGTCAAAGGCAGCCGTCCGTAACCAGAATTTCATACGAAAGTATACTGAAAAAAATATTTTAAAATAGGGTATAATGGTTATGCTTTATCAAATCAAAGAATTTTTGAGGGCCCTGAAAATTGTTAGTTGAATCTTTCAGACTGTATAAAGTATGTGGCGTGTGGACTTTGTAACCAGAATTTCATACTAAGGTATACTGATAAAAACACTTGAAATTAGGGTAAATTTGATATTTTTTATCAAACCAAAAAAGTTGAACTTTTCACACCTTATAAAGTATGTGACGTGTGGCTTTGTATGACTTTCCTTTTAATTTCTTGACCATCTGAACACATTTTGTTACTAAATACCAGGAAGTTCGATGTAAAATTCAGGGGCTTTAATTGAAAGGATCTTTAGTTGATCCTATCCAACATATAATCTATTTTTTTCTCCGTGTACCCTGTACAACTAAAAGAGAGCCCTGAGTAGTTATGACTTGGTTATTCTGGTTTCAGTTAGGTCGTAAAATAATTGCCGACTACTAGAGCTGCGATAGAGCGCGACACATATCATTGCCCTGATGAACGGACTTGGACCTGGGATCAGAAACAGAAGAAGTGCTTTGTAATTATGATGAGGCCAATACAAGAAACGACCCTAAACGCGGCGATTGTTGTTGTCTCCCCGCCGCTTCTCCGCCCCCTTTTTTTGAGTAATTATGAAATCCTCTTTACGGTTCAGTCTCTCTCCCTCTTTCCGTAATATTTTTATTTTTTTTGGGTTTTATGTCCGGGGCTGTGGCAAAAGTTTCACAGAATTTGGATCGTTTTGTCGCTGATGCGGCCTGTTTTGATGACTTCACTTACAGTCAAATGGTCTTACATACCGGTACATGTGGGTTATTATTTCTAGTATTTCGGTACCAGAAGTAGGCTGTTTTTACGTTTCGAAAATAAATGAAGGTTCTACATTGGGTTGCCACAGGGTAGTTAACTGACCAAAGACACATGGGTATAACCGATGGCGGAAGAGTTTTAAAATTGAATCATACCTATACTTTTGGAATATTTGAAAGTACATTATTGAAAAATATAAATATTATCTCCTACAGGTTATATGATATACATTCAATGCACCATCTAGTTCCGTCCTATAAATGTGCAAATATACTAACAGTCTACTAGGTACTCAAAAGTCGAAACTTGACTTTTGATAGCCCGCCGACTGGTCAGTGGAACCTTAACCCGACTTCTGTTCTTTTTCTGTGCCATGTTGATCTGAAATTAAGCTTTAGGCCCTTTTTTCGTGTTGGTTGTTCTTGCTGGGCGGCCAATTGCTTTTGACCCTAACCCGAGTTTCCCCACTTGGCACATCCGTTAGGTTCTGGAAATGATTTTCCTGTTTTGTAAATTTCGGTGAAAGTTCATTAGACTGTTAATTGCAGTGAGAGACGATGGCGCGCAGAGAACTCCATTTGCAGGATTGACTGATTTGGCTCCATAAGGTGAAAGTTTGTTGATACTCGCAGTACCGTACCCGTTCCCCAAAAGCTTTCCCAAATGCAATTTGCCAAATGTCTTTGCCAATGATTGCAACAAAGCGGCAACGAAAGCCAGCTAAAAACAATAACGAAATCAGAAAATTGCACAATTGGCCGAAAGCAATCGACGCTGGCTCAGCTGACTCATTTTCGGGGAAAAACTATATCATCTACGGTACAGAAGACACCCCTACAAATGTGCATATGCTTAGACAACATAAATGGGAAAACAATATCATAAGCGGAAATTTTGTTCTTTTCCAAATGAGAACTTCCGCAGGCGAGATACTTTATATATTGTGCTAGTTTCTATTGGGGGAACCCATGAAAATTTTCTGCGTTTTGCGCCTCGTCATTTCCTTATCGTAAGGTGAAAAGAAAAATGTCACCAGCAGCAGCCGCGGCATAATTAATTATCCCTTTTTCGGGGCTACCGTTCCGATACAACCTCGATGTCATGCAGGCGCTCGTATCCACCAGTTGGGATCGGACTCCGATGTTCACCCCTATATAATCGAGTTTTTGTACTAAATGCGAACCGAGAACCGACGGCCATAAACATTATCGCATGTTCTACACTTAGATCATCAGCTTCTGCGGGGGTTATACTGCCTGTCTATATAGTATTGTGTGTAGGTACAGGTACATCGCAACAACAACGCATCGTCACGGTTCGATGACAATGTGAAAAATAAAATAAAAAAAGAGCATTTCAAATACAAATGAAACACATGAGCTGCGAATAGCCCGAGTTTTGTGGGCTGTTGTCTGGCCAAAATGATAGTTGCGTTCGTTCACCACGCTAGCTGTGTATATTATGTGTTTTTTCTAAATATAAAAATGTATATGGATTTTAGAAACTAATGGGCAGTAAACCTCATTTACTGACAAAGCTCATGGGAGGTTTTAACTTTACTTTCTTCCCTGTTCATTAAAAGATTTAGTTTTTTCTGTTAGTAAAAATCAAACCCACTTACATCAGCTTAGTATTTACTGGATAAGAAAAGTTTTGAACTGAAACATGTTCTGAATATACTTTTATCTTGTCAATATGTAAAGTATTCGGCGTGATACTGAAGTCCCTAAAGCAAAATTGTAAGCCATTTCGGTATAGAGCTTAAGTTGCCGTTTTTGTGGAAATGATTTGTTTAGCAAAAAATAATAATTCATAGAACAAAAACAACTATAATTGCCTTTCTAAAATTCATGGATATTTGGTGAAAGGGTCACTCTTTAAAATTCATGATTCATAAATGATGACAAGGATGTGCACATCATAATCTGCCCAAAGGAGACTGAATAGTATTAAAAGAGCACTTTTCCCCTTTGAATGCCAAATAAATACAATTTTTCCAAGTAAACGTTCGAATTCTCGTTTAAGTTAAAGATGCACTCAAGACGGATTTTCTTGAGTCAGCTGGGTGGAATCACATCATTAGACGGATAAATGTGTTTCGCCAACTTCCTTTATTATATTTTGCCAGAGATCATTTGCAGAACGCTCGTATTTAGGCTGCTGCTTAGCCAAATGGAAAGCGGACCGCCGGGCTTCTGGCCAAGTTGCTGCTGCAGTTGCATCCTCGATCCACGGCAGCAACTGCAACAGCAGCAACAGCAGCTGCAGTTTGTTGCTGCAACTAATTGCATTTGGCTGGGATCGCCGGCAACAGCTTGGATTCAGATCCAGCTATAGCTACATATAGCTTCGGATCCAGCGTCTAACGGTTGCGACCGCTTCCGTTAAGCAGCATGAAAAACGACAAATGGAGTTTTTCTTTATTTTTCTGCATGTTCTGCCGCTGTTGTTCTGTTATTTGCAACGAAATCAAAGCATCGAACACCCCATCGCAGAGTTAACAGTAGCGCGAAAAGCTCCACTTGAGTGCACACAGGTGAAAAATAAATAAAAACACCGAATATGCCCAGTAATTTGGTATCTCTTAATTTAAGAACAGTTCTTACCGTATAATCACAAACAATAGTCACCCAAAAATATTAAGATTCTGATAAGGTCTCAGAGCTTGAAACGTATTCGTCTTTCGATATGGTTCATAAGTTACCTTTCTATACTTTCGTCTTAACTCCCTAGAACCACTAATTTATAAACCAAGAATCTTTTTAGGGATTCTAATTCTTCTCTGTCCAAGACCACAGGCAATATCAAACCAATAGTGTAGGGTCTATACTCTCGGTACATTGACAGGCGGAAGTTTAAACTTATTACAATGTAACAATCTCTGCTGGAACCTTCCATAACGATAATAGGGATCGATTAAGGCCTCGTGCTGGGACTTCCGATGCGCCCAAAGGAAGCTAGTTCCGCTTAGAATGGCGTATAATAATAAGGAGTTCCTATGGAGGCTGCTAAGAAGATTGCTCTAAACGGTTTGGTAATGGCCAAACAAATTAGGTCTGATCGGCCAGCGGAAGTCTTGACTAGCGAAAATGTCATCGACAGCACACTGTGGGAAAATTCCATAATTGTAAATTGTATTATCATTTTTAGAAGAAAAACAAATTTTATAATTGAACATTTTTTCTACAGATTTTTTCTATGATAGTTTTTATCTTGGTAAATCTAAAGAAATACTAACAACAGATGTACGTTATTGGTAATATAAAGATAACAATAAAAAATCGTAAGATTTTGGCTGAAAATGAAAATAAATTTTAGTCCGTCATTCGAATTTATGCGTTTTTATATAAAAAAAGTTTATTTTAAACGTGAAAGTACCCATTAAAGTTTAACTAGAAGAATGCTTTAAACCGTATACCAAAATTTTCAGTGTTAAAAATACCCTAAGAGTAAAATGAGAGAAATTCCTGGCATTTTAATATTTTAAAGCTGTAATATTCACGATCTGAACAATTAAATTTAAATCATAGAAACGTTAAGTTAATGATGCAAGTATGAGCCATTGTAATAGCATAATAGGATGCCTTTCCTGTGCGCAATGCTGGGTGCGATGAAATACTACATCGGAAGAGTCGACCCAAGAACGACTTGATTCCAGGTGACTCACAGGTCCAATGATCATTAAGATCGAAGAGCGCGGCTCTCTTAGACCCGTGCAAGCGAGAAGAAAGACGGGTAAAGAGAACGCGCTTCGGAGAGAGCACGAGCGAGATAGACGTATATCGCCACGGCAGGTAATTACACCTGTGCTAATACGGTCCGCTGGTTCGGAGCGAGGGTGGGAGCGAGACAGCTGGCTGGCCGGAGTTTTGGAGAGTTCGTACCGCCGCGAGGTTACAAAAACCCCGTGCCATAGTCGATAGCTGGCAAGTCGCAAAGTGGAACGCAGAGGCGAACGAGCTAAGAAACTCAGTTGAAAACAGTTAAAGCGCGGTGCCAGTCACTTTTTATAGAGAGGGCCCCTGGCAGAGGCACTACCTTCTCACTTACTTACTCACTTGCTTACCTGTCGTGTTGGCCACGTTTGTGGCGATCCGATCAGTGCACCGTCAGCCAGCGACGCGCACACACCGAACCACTCTGGAAAACAGCACCATTATCAACAGAAGTGTTAGATAAACTGATAATACTACGGAGCCAACAAAAGCACTAACGTGGCGTTAACTCTATTAACCTAAACTCACACACATAAACCAACGGCAAAAAAGCTGGCGAAAAACAGTAAAGACAATAACCCAAGTAAAACAAAAACGAGTCAGCGGCAAAGTGTCAATAAAACTCTCGAATTCATTAACACAACTCAAAACGTTCTATTAGTAAGCACTTGCAAATTTCAACCAAACAAAAAAAGCTGAAAAGCTAAAGTTGAACGGACAGAGACGGAATGAGAGATAAAAGGAGAGGGGACTAGACACAAATTAGCGTGGCCAACAGTCAAAAGGTCTAATAGAAGCGCGTGTATGCGAGTAGATATGCCCGTATGCACCATATAGGCCATATACACCGAGACCCCAAAGCCATGATCGTAAAACTACATCAACAAATGTTCGACAAAAACCTCTGAAAAAACGCCACAAAAACCAGACGAGGCTGCCGCCATGTCCTTGGCCTGTAAAAGGGCAGGTGAGTTCAAAATTAACAAAATTTTTATATATCTAGGTGTTGTTTTTTCTGTGGTTTTGTTTTTATGATTATTGGGTGCATCATCATTAATCACCGCCACAGAGCGGAGCAGCCTCAGGCTGGAAAACCTAATGGACCTCTGGTTCGAGCGAAGAAAATCTATTGAAAAAGATTGTCTGCTGAGAAAAATTGAAAACTAATTGATCTGGCCACAGTAGATTCCATTCATTGGCCTGGTCTGGATGAATGGTTTCGAAAGTTCACCTTGGCAATAGATGGGTTTTGTACGAGAGATGGAGGCATGGGTTTCTGCGGCTTATAGAAACTGTACAGTACTCTTGGACAGGAATTTTACAAAGGTTTTATTTAGAGGATAGATAAAAAGGGACTTCGTTTTATTATTTTCATTTAACTAAGAATTCATAGTCTAAACAGAATGATACCAAAGTCAACTGAAAGAACCATCTGGTTAAGACAGTTCTAAGCTCTCTAACTCCATTTACAGAGACTCAATTTCTTCACGAACCTAACAGCCATAGCCTACCAAACTGCTAATAATTTTGTGGCCATAATTCGAGCTGTCAAAGAATCGAAAAATAGAAATGGACGGGAAAAAAATCCCTCCGTTTTGTGCTCAATCATTTCACATAATTTGTAGCATAGCATTCGAATGGCTTGGAAAACATTTAGCGGCGCTTTAAACAAGTCAATAAACGATTAAAATAATGATTTTTCAAAACCCCCAAAAGAAGTCGAGATCCCACACACACAGCGACACGCTCACAAAAGGCAAAGCGGCCTACAAAAATATATTACAAAAGCACTCTCAGAAAAAAAGAAAAAGGAACGAAAATGTTTATAACCAACAAAAATGATATAATAAAAGGCAACCTCAGTGAGCTCAGTGCTCAGAGTGTTGGCTATAATTGCGAGTTCGAGTTTGGGCCATCGAGTGACATCATTTTGGGCAACTTTTATATTTTGTTTTATAATATTTCGAGTGTCGGCGAGCGGCTTTCGGGCCAGAGATATTGCCAAACAAGTTGTACAGGCGGGAGTGTGTATATTGTATATTTCCGAGAGCTTTAATTGCTATGACTTTATTAGGTTATCAGAGCCACCGAGCAGCGTCGCATCGCCGCATTGCCGCATCGTCGAGCTAAAGCCGATCTTGATGCCTGAGTTATGTCTCATTAGCAACACGTGTGAGTCGAGTCTCGGCCGGATCGAAGTCGAAGACGAGTGCTGGAAGAATTGCCAGCGAAAGAACCCACGATTCTCCCCGTCTGCCATCCCGCTCGCACTGGCTCCATCTGTCCCGCTCAACACACACAGTTGCAATATCAATTACAGCATGCCACAGGAGCAGTAAGCAGTGAGCAGTAACTGGTTTCGGTGAGGGTAGATAATGCCAGGGTACATCGGCTATACTGAAAGGGTAATTGTCCCTCTGAATATGATTAAATTTATTTCTCACTTCTTGGAAGTATTTCGGAAGATATCTGCTAGTCCAATTGGGGTTATAATATAAGGAATGACTGATTTAAACATTCCTTAAAAAATAATACAGATATCCGTACATAATATATGTTGAGGAAGGTATAACAATGAAATCAAATTATTTGCGTATGAATTTTTCCATTTGTTATATTCTTTTTCTTCAGCTGTGAATGATCTAGTTACAGAAGATTTCAAATCACTAGAAAAGGCTTATATCTCCATTATATCTTTGTAATATGCATGTTTCTGTAAAGTTTAGATACATTTTATATAAGAATGGGAGTTTTATTTTAATCAGTTCCTATCCTTAGGGTTCTTTTAACGAGATTTGCTCTCTTTATACCTTTATACATTCCTGTTAGAGCACCGTCAAGTCGATCACTTACCCTCTCAACCTGGCAGTGGCTGTCGCTGGGACACCTTATGCTCCTTGTGCTCAGAGGTTTCATGTTGCATTTGCCTTGACTGCATCCTCTCGGAAAATGACCCAGAGCTATCGCCACGACCAGTACCAGTACGTACTGCCTACTACCTACCACTGCTAAAATAAGAACCACTGCCAGCGACGTGCCCAATACCCATTGCCATAAAGTTGCAGCAGGAAACCGAGTCAAACCGGCAGCAGCGGCAACAATTTGCAAACTCATGATGCAGCCTTAAAAGGCCGCCTCATCCGCTCGGGCAAATAAAAAGTGCGTGATTTGTGTGATGTGCCAAACCACCAGAGAGAAGAGAGTCTCAGTCTACAGGTCTCAGAGCCGGGCTCTGGGTCTTGCGGCCGACTCTTTCGAATCTTTCTCGAGTCCCTGGCAATCCATCAGGGCAGTCAGGGCCGACAGTTTGCCGGAGGTCTGTTGACCCCTGAGTGCTCTTCTTGGCCCGGCAACAGCAGTTGCGCATGTCTAATTGCAGTCAAGTTGGTAGTGAGAGGCTCTCAGGGTTCACGTCCCGGGGTCCGTGAGAATTTGCCACCTGTCAGCCGGCGATAATTGCCAGCGGGTCAGGCAGCAGCAGCAACAGCAGCAGCAGCAGCATTTACGGCAGCAACATCAACAGGTAACTTGAGCACCTGAATAGCGCTTAGCCAGAGTCTTCAGCACACAAATCCGACATAGATTCTACTTATAAGTGCAGCGGGTAGAAGGCTAAAATGAATAGCTGACATGGATTCCACTTGAAACTGTCGAGCTGATAAGAATGAAAGTTCCTTGTGAAATGTGACATTGGAATATTTTTTCTTTACTTCTGGATACCTTCCAGTATCTATGATACATTCTATTTCACAGTTGACAAATGAAAGATTCGAGCTTTGATTCGCTTACATCATTATTTTCAAGCTAATCGCCTGTCAGAGATTTTGGGGAAGTGAACAAAACCAGAATAGTGGCTCTGCTTCCGCTTAAATCCGCTCCCCGTCCATATAAAGAACTTATAAGAGAGTTCCCAACCCGACACAGCAGCTACAACATTTTTATTAGGCTGACTGGCCAAAGGTTCCCATTCAAGTGGCTTGTCACTTGTTGTTCTGTTTTCTGTTTTGTTGGGCACTTCTAAAAAAGTTGTTGGGTTTCCTGGAATGGCCCCGGCTCAGACAATCTCTCCGGCTGTCCCCGTCTTATTTTATGTTATTTTTCTGTATTTTTTTTATATATCGTATGTGTTTGCCTGGGCTGACGGTAGCTGACCTTTTTGTACAAGTTGCTGCTGCTGCTGCTGCTGCTGCGGTTGCCAATGTTCCTACTCGCTGCTCTTTTCGGGCGAAGTTGTAAAATGTTGTTCAAAGCGCCGCAGAAACCGTTGGCGTTAATGATCGCCGCTGGGCATGCGACGAGGATGGGGAGCAGAAAATGTTTCCTAATAGCTGAAGGAGCCCAGACCCAGGCCCAAACCCAAACCCAAACCCAAGCCCGAACCGGAACCCGAACCCTCCTCAACCCAAGGAATCGCAATGCTGAACGTTTTTTGGCTACCGGTTGCGTTTTCACGCAACAAATGGCAACATTTAAAAGTCCATTTCGCCTGCTCATCTCCTTGGCTTCGGCCTCACCTTCAGCTGGGCTCATCTTCATCCTCGTCCACGTCCACGTCCGCGTCCACATCTCTGGGCACAGGTGCACAGCGGGCAGCAGTCACAACATAGCTCTGGCTCATATATCTTGGGCCTGAATGGTTCGCCAGAGGAGAGCAGATCTGGGGAGCTTTGCGGTGTGGAGCTGGCTCAATTGATGCTGACAGCGAATGAAAGGCTCTGGCTGAGAGTCTGCAACTGAGACCTCGGTCAGAACAGCAAGCTCAGGGCACAGTGGTCTGAAAGAAACGGAAATCGGAATGAGATGGGTCCAAAATAGTACTATCCAATATATAAGCTCTTCAAAAAAAACAAAATTTGAAGAAAAACTCACATCTTTTGCCGTTTTACGGCATTTTTCAACCTAATACTAAGAATTTTTTATAAACTTTCTGAAGTTCTTAAATATTGGAGTTAAGAAATTTCAATTTTTATGCAGCCACTTTGTTTGTTTTACTGAATCTAACTTTACCTTTGAAGGCGAATGCATATGTATATAACTTATTAAGAGAAAAAACTCAATTTTTCAAAAATTCATTAAAACATTTAGGTTCCTTATTTACTATCTAATAAATTGCAGCTTTTCTGTATTTACTAAGCCAGAGCCGAGTATCATATATAAGTCAATATGCCTCCGAATCGTATTCATAAAATGAGGTTTAATGGTGTTGGAAATGGATTTTTTAATAATCCCAGGTTGTTAGCTTGTACCCCAGTGGTTTTATGGGTTTCCCCGGGACACTGTTCCTGGCTAAGCTGCTCCAGCCGTTGGGCTCACTTCCTCGCCAGATGTGTAAACCAGTTTTTTGGGTGCCCATTCGAATCGAGCGATACAGCAACCACAGCCGACGACGATGACTTCGACTCCCCACAAGATCAATTCTAGCAGATTTCACTTTTTCCTTGGCCCGGCTCAAAGTTGGGATGTCAGTTTTTTCCTTTTCTTTTTTATTTTTTCTGTTGTTTTTTGAATTTTCTTAGTTACCTGTGTGGAAGGTGCAGCTTGAACGGTTGCAACATTTGCTCCGACTGCAGTGTGTTGCCTGCCTTGTCGTCGTTTTGTTGCCAGCCTCCCCGGATTCCTGGATCTCGGCACATTGCATTTTTATCTCAATGAGTCGGGGCGAACATGTTGTTGTTGCTGGTTGCATGCCACAAATGTGCGATTGGCATGTCAAAAGAATTATGTATTGATTTTTGATTTCTGCCTAAAAGCGGAAGTTTCTCCTCTGTTCGGAGTGCAGTGTACACAGCTGGGGCTGCCCGCCCCGTACACGAAAACTTATTAAATTCAAACAAATTAAAATCCGGGCTTAGTGGCAGCAGCCCATTGAACATCTATCGATGGATGTCTGCTATAAGAGGTGGAAACGAGTTTCTCGGCAAGTGGGCGCCGCTTGGCCGCAAAATGAATGACACTAAACGCTCTTGACAGCAAACATTTGTCCGCAACAGAGGTAGTTAATTAGTTTTGCACGAAATTATGTTAGTTAATTGATTAACTATCGAACCGACTAGTGAAGAGGGGCCCTGGCACAGGTACAGGTTCAGCCAGAGATCGATCTGGCCGGTCGGCCTGGCTTAAAGACCCTGCCTTAAAAGCCAGCGAATATAAATGGCTGTGTTTTCTCCTCGCTCTTTTTTCTGATTTTTTGCGAGGAGCACGGGCTGCGATCTCTGGGCCGGCTGCACCCACGCAAGAGATCCGAAAACCGAAAACCGCACAATCCAGGCTGGTCGAGATCGCTGGGTTGTGCGCTGTCTAAATATGGACATGGGCGGCCTGAAATTTCGAGGGGCCGAAACACCGAACCCAGTCATTGCGATCGGCCGTGGAGGAGTAACCAGCCATGGACTGGTCCAGTGGTCTTGGGAGTCAGTGATCCGCGCCAGCAGAAGCCGATCCTCAGCCCCATGATTGCCCCTCTTCGGAGGTGAAATGGTATGTTGCGGATAGAGTTGCCGAGAAATCGGCTACTAATGGTGGGGAAGGGAGACCCTATATGGGAAGGGTCTTGAGCCAATAACAAATCTAAATAGTGAGTATAAAAGTTTTAAAAGAAAAGGTTGGTAGATATTAAACACTGTATTATTACAAAACTGTATAATATAACATGAGAAAAGTATTCGATATTATGTTACAAAGTGGGGACTTACTGGTTAGAGCAACCACATTGAAAATAAAAAAAGCTATTTTCCATAATAATTACATTAATATTACAGTCAATTAGTACTGAGACTAAAAATAATTTAATCAGGTCAGGTCAAAATTCAAGAACCCTTTAAAAACTTAAAGATACAATATTTAAAGGCAAAGCCAGATCGAAGGGCAAAGATCAGATGGGGAAGTAGTTTAAACCAGGCGCTAACACAAAGCTTTTGAAATGCGAAAAGAGAATGTTCCAAGCTGGCCCACAGATCGAACTATTGTGCTATATTGTGCCAGAGGAGAGGGCCAGAGAATGGCAGATCTCGAAGATAAAAGTGGCTTAAACTATGAAAGCCATCAATGCGCTGAAACGTTTTACGAGAGTGGTATAAAGAATCGATACGACTAGAACGCGCTGGTGAGTGGCAAGTTCCGTTTCGATTAACTTGTGAAGATCGTGCCAGACAACACGTAACGCCGAGGGATCAGAGTTGTCTTTGTTTTCGGCTTTACTATATGCTATACTATTTATATTTCCTCACCTCAAGGCGCTCTGTAGGCCGTAAGCTGCTCATCAGCTTTGTTGAGTCGCTAATGAAGATCAGAGTGGCCAAATGCGGGATGACTTTTTGTGTGTGCCTTGGTAATTAATAAAAGTTTCAACAAATCCGACACGACATACGGCTCAAAACAGATACAGGTACAGAAAAGTTGAACAAAAAACGAAAATCGCCTAGATGGGGTAGGGAAAAAATTAGAGCCAGTCAGACAATGGCCCTAACCGTGCCAAGCTGCTTTGCCAACGCATTGAAAATTGTGCGCATTGTTCGAATGACTATACAATGTGGTTGCTCTCTCACTGTCAACTACTTGAAACCAGAAAGGCAGCGGGCACAAAAAACCTAAAATAAACGATATAACAGACACAACAAAAATCACATACACGACTTTTTCGTAACAGTCACGTTTTTTATTTCATTTATTTACTTTGCTGACAAAACAAGAAAAGTGCTGGCCAAAAAAAAAGGAGCGAGCCGAAAAAAAAACGAAAATCGAGCAGAGCTCGCGCCCAAAGTTGACGCATCGTGCCAGCAAACAAATCATAAATATCATGAAAAAAAAATCCGGTAAAAATGGTAGCCGACGTGAAGAGGCATAAAATCAGAAATCAGAAATCCAACAGATCTGATTAGGAGAAAAAATAATAAAAATCTGAGATAAAAGGTGGTTAGGAATAGAAGGAAGTGGCAGCTATTTGGGGTGGGATTATGATGTTGCAGCCGATTTAATGACAGCTTCAGGTTATGTCTGCCCCTGCTGCAATTAGTTGCCTTCGTCTCTCGTAGAGTCTGTCCCAGGTGGCGTATACGCAATACGCTCATATATCATTCGCTGGCAGCACAGTTGTTGTTGCTCCCCGTGTGAATGATGAGTGTTGAGTTGCAGGTAATAATTGCTACTGGTCGTCATCGGGCTTGTCGTGAGCTCAGCGCAAACATATAATTAAGATTGAGCTGAGTTCCCGCTCGAGATGAAGTCTCCAAAAGGTCACTCTCTCGATCTCTTCCTCTCTGGTTCTCGGCTCTTAAAAGGCCATATTTTAACCAAAAAAGAAAAAAAGAACTGCATAGCTTGGCACAATTATGAAATATTTTGCAAAACTCAAAAAAGAAACAACTCGAAACCGGTTCGGTCGGCATAATGAAGGATAATGATGATGATGATGACGATGCGCCCAAGCGAGCCCGATCTTCAAGATCCCCGAGATTCAAAGCTTCAGTTCAGTCCGGGCCAACCGACGACTAGAAGTGGAGAAAAGATTTATGCCCAATGGCCGGGCCAAAAGGAGCCGGGCATCCACAAGATGAAGATGCCACTTGCCACTTGCGGCAGGCTCGACTTTGCAACTGCTCTCGCCCGCAGGCCGCTTTATTTGTCAAGATTAATTACAAAAATTTGCGTTAAATCATAATTTTCAATGTTTTATGAGCCAGCCGCCCGCCTAGAACACTGAGCACTGCCGGAGAAAAACACCTTTCCTTGATTTACGACTCATTGTTGGCTGTGTTGGCCATGGCTAAAAAGTAAAAAGTAAAAAGCTGTTGACAAGCCCATGCTGGGATTGCTGTTGGCATTTTGCCTGGGAATGACATTTATCTGAACCTGCGGCAAAATGCAACGCAGATTTGTTGCCGGCTATTGGTGCTTGATAAGATTTGGCGAGGAAATATTTGGCAACTACTTGGGCGTCGAAGTGATAGAGTGCCAATAAATATGGCATTTCGTGGGATAGGTATTTAGTTATTTATCGCTGGTCATGTTGGGTTGGGGGCTTCAATTTAAGGAGAAGTAAATTTTTTAGATTATTGCATTGTAAGTATACTGTTACTATCCAATAGAGAAATCTAACCACAGTACAGTTGTATACCCGATTTTACACACCCAATTCAAACAAAAAACGCATTTCCTTTACAGTGAAATTCCTGGCACTCCATAACAACATCATCAAAGGCCAGAGCGCGTTCGCCCGGTTCCCAGGAGTCCTTTCAGCGGAACCGCGATGAAGTACAGAATTACAGAAATTCAGAGCCCCCCGCCGGAGTCAAAGTGCCGGCCTTTGCTGTAAGGTAAGCCAGGCCAGAGATGCTGTTTATGGTTTTAATTAAACGGGGGCAACATCGGTGCGCCTCATTAGCGGCAATTTGTTGGGCATGCCGCCATCAAATCGAACGGGTAGCCTTTTCACGGAAGCCACGCGGTCCCCAGATAACCCGGTATCCAGTGCTCGGCATTCAGTATTCAGTATCCAATAGCTAGTACATAACCGATACTGGGATAAGCTAACACCGAAGTTTGAGCCCAAGAGTTCCAGTTCCCGCCGGCGAACCTGCTAATTATGCATGTGTGCTGTGACGGCCTCATGGGGTTTCTCGGTCTCTCGGTGTCTCGGTTCCCCAGTTTCTCGGGGCCTTAGCCTTATCTATCAAAGCGTTGCGGGGCATAAAATTCAAATTGACGCTCGGCCAGTGAAAGCGTGTGAACTGAACTTGAGACGTGGCATAGATAAAGATATACCACATAGACCAAGCAGCCAACAGAGCTATATAAATTAAACTAAAACCGCAAATAAACATGAGGTTTTTCATGGGGCACAAGTGGGGAAAAGATAACGAGGCAGACAAATGGACGCGTGACAAATAGAAGGGGTTGCTATCAAGAGAGCGTTTTGAAGAAACTAAAAAGGGAGTTCATTTAGTTTCCAAAATAGCTAGAAAAATATTAGGAAAGAAAGACTTAGATTATAGTAAATGTATCTAAAAAGATGATAGTTAAATGAAAAATCTTGTATCTTTGGTATCAATATTTTTACTTAAATGCTTACTTTAATTTTCGTGGCTCACGCACTTTACCATCTCAAAGTGGGCCACTTTTTCATGCATATGCAAACAGGGAAAGACAACAAACACGAAAAACATTTAAGAAAAACAGCAGACTCAACCAAAGCTGCTGCCACAACAATCACCGGGCTTAACCCATAAATCTACACATGTTTACATTGGCTTAGCCACTCGAATTGGGGCTGTTCGCCGAGGCCGGTGCGCTTCCATATCAGTTGACAAATTTGTCAACTTGCCTGGCAACTTGAATGACATTTTCCAAACCAATTTGCCCCCTCCCCCCGAAAAGGGGAAACCACCCAAAGGAAATCCAAACAATGGACAAACAGCGAACAACTCGAGTCAGCTGCGGCGCTTTCAATTCATGAAATGGACAATTGTTGTCTCGCTCCGCTGACTCGATTGAACGAGCCCACAGAAACAGGTAACAATATTGGCCATCAGCAGGAACGGTAGCAGTCGACAACTGTAATTACTCCGACTGCGATAAGACAGTCCGAGTTGAGGACTGAGTTGCACAAGCCTGTCTTATCAGCCCATAAATTGCAATTGGATGAGTCAATTGGTTTGACTTTAGTGAGAAATAGTTGGTTGAAACTAGGTGTCTAGAACAAAATTGGGTACAGATGGCTCAACAAATTGTAAACTCATTAGTAATATAGCCAAAAATGTATTTCCGTTTATGTTATTTGACAAGTTCGTATATATCGTATTAAGTATGCATGATAATATTAAAATAAATTTGTATATATATCAAACAGTCGCATATATATAATAACAAGGCATCTTTAACTTAAAGGTTGCACTTTTCAAGATTTCTGTTCATTAGATAGCTTAATAACCACATATAAATATGTGCATCTCTGACTTGCCACTAATAATTCTTTGTTTCCTGAACTTTATTTGTTTTCCCAGTGGCCATAATCAAAACAAATTATTAAAGTGCAATGCCCATAACCCTAAGCATTAGTATCGGCTCCCATGGGTAGAACATAAATCGCGGCCATATCTTTATCTCCTATCTGCTATCTAATGCCATCGATGCAGCTGCTACTGGCCAGAAGTCGAAGATAAATGCGACCGCGAAAACTTTGACAAGCGATTAACTTTACAATTTATCGCCCTGCAATTTGAATCGTCGTAAATCTCGGCGAGGCAGGTCCCCGTGTATAGAGAACTGGTGCCCCGGCTCATGTTGCGTCATTAATTTAACCAGTTGTTGCAACAAGCTTAGCGCACCCATTGGGTCAGGTTCGAGGCGCTCTCTAAGAATCGCCCTGATTAAAACATCAGGCACCGGCTGGAAGTTAAGTTGTTCGGCCAGTCGGGCCCCTCCTCATCCCATCGAGCTGTTTTTATTTATGCATGTTTAAACATATTTAATGTCATTACGGGCACCTCTCGCCCATCGCCCATGCCACAAACACGCATTTAATTATCTGCCCGGCTCCACATGCCCCATGCGCATTAATTTAATGAACGCATGCATTTCACATTTTTATCATGTCCAATTGGTGGCGGGGATATGGGGGGGATGTGGCGGATCTGGGGGATATGGGGATCTGGGGGATCTGGGGGATCTGGGGGATCTGGGGGATCGGCGGTGTATCCCGGTAGCTGCCCGGCCTGTTCCAATATATTTATTGCATCGTCGCCTTCGACGATGTTGCCCTGGTTTGCTGCTGTTGTCGTCGTCGTCGCGTTTTTAATCGCATTTAATATTTCATTTTATTAAGCCAATCGTTAAGTCCAGTTGGCGTTGCATCTGCATCTCCTCCGCGAACCGCCATCTCCGCGAAATGATGTCTGCTGATCGTCTGGCGAGCGGTGGGCAATTTGCTTAATGCTGTCATAAGGCTGTCAGTTTATCATTTGCATTGCGGCGCCTTTGGCGACATGGAGATGACACTTAATAAGCAGCCAACTTACTGGCCACCACTTGGGAGTTGGTAGCTGGCAGAAGTGGACGAAATGCCAGACATTTCGTTACTGCCATGTGGCTGCCACAACTCCGCAGCTGCAAAATGAAAACAAACCGCATTCCAGTGAGCCAACCAAGCGAAGTGTAGCAGAGCAGTTGTCAATTGCACCACCCTACAAGATCGGAACAGAAAAAAATGCAATGTTTTTTTAAATATACTTACCTATAAAACCCCATAGTTACAGACTAGAAAAGAATTTTGCAGTACTTTACCAATAATCGAGATAACAATATCTGAAAATTAAAACAAAATATAAAATCTTCATTAAATATAATATAATAGTTAGTAACACTGAGGTGCAACCTGAAGCGGGTTCGATAATGGGAGCCTTATTAAATTAACTCTACTTCAGCTCCAGTTTAAGAAGCAGCCAGCTGGAAGTTCAGGATCCCACCCCAGTTAAAAGTATTTAAGCTACGCTCATGGTTTGGGGGCAAAAAGGGGTAACGCAACTTATAGAGGCAAGTTTTTGTAGCTCCTGCTTCCTGTCGTTATAGGAGCTGCATGTTGGAAGCGGATAGGATGCGAGGGCAGCTCGAAAGTTAATAAGACATTAGTTGATATAGAGCTAGTCAAGAGATAGTTAACAGTTTATATTATATTAACCAAAAATATTACGTTCATACCTCCATTTACAGAATTTAGAAGCTGTATTTGAATTCCTATGTATTTAATATAATATTTTACGTTTATAAGACACTCTTTATACCAATACTCATTAAGCTACCCTCGCTTCGTATCCATTGATACTTATGTCAATTACCATTCTCCGTTCGCCTCTTTGCAGACAAATGCCATGGACTCGGTTACAATTTGGACTCGTCTTGTCAATCAATTGGGATCGAGTTGGGGCCTAGAACTGGAAATGGCCAAGGATGACCGGCGAGCGCTTCCTGTTTGGGTAAGTTGGTAAGTCAATACTCGGACTGGCTTGGTACTTAATTAGCCACACGACAGAAAACCGAAAGCGCACGACCCCGACCCGTGGTGACCTCAAAGCTGACGGAGGCGACTAATTTATCAAACTGGAAAGAAAAACTGAAATAACTCTGCGCATAATTAAATCAAGCCGAGAAAAAGAAAAAAGCCAAGCAGAAAGATACCCAAATGCGTTTTTAAGCCGTTGCGCAACGCCTCTTTCTAACAGTTTTCGAGTCTTTTTCAGATTGCCTTTTCAAACTATTGTTTGAATTTTTCCTTTGGTTAATTGCCGCTTATTAATCTCGGCTCGGTTAATGGTCTCACAAACGAAATTCTAATTAATGAAATATTTTTCGGCCTTTTGCTTGCATTGTCTGGCCATTCCACCTCCCCGAAACCATAATCAATCATAGCCCTAGACCTAAGATCCCACAGATGATGGAGTTTTGGGGGAATGTGAGCTTGAGTGTGTTGACAAATTTGTGAGTTGCCGGCAGATTGACAGGAAAATTGAGTAATCAATCATGGGCTATCAAACGAAGCCGCCACCAAGCGACCTTCGAAAGGTCTGTTTAGTTAGTCAGACCGCCGAAATCCAGTCTTATCAACCGGTGATGCACGTCTAGGCCATTATTTAAATGCTAGTGTCGGTTCACGAAATCACGTTAGTCGAGAATGTTGACAAAATCTCAAAATCAGCGGCTTGAACAAGTTGATTCAGGTTTGCCTTTATTTTTAGTCGCCGTATCTCGCATGCGATTGAAATGAAATATAAAATTACATTAAATTACCGGATGTAATTGCGGTGGTCGTGCCAGTCGCCTCTCTCTCAGCCTGGTCAATGAATCACGGCCCGGCGCACACGAAATGCGTCGAAACAAAAGACTCAGGCAACGAACTCGACTCGAGCACCGAGCACTTATGTCCAAATCAGGGAGAACAGCAACCCACTCAGAGGAGTAACCAAAAAACGAAAAATAAATAAGAAAGAAATACCCACACAAAACCCAGCTGAGTGGTATCTTATCAGGGCTAACGATTTTGTCAAATGACAATTTTCTCGGCCTCATTGAATGCCTCTTTTTCACGCCATTCATTGACTTTTGTATGGTCCATTTAGTTGTCAATTATTTTTGATAGCCCCGGCTCAGGCGGCTGATAAGAACCTGTGACTAGCACAAGACTTGTTTAACAAACCCGGGAAAAAGAAGAAGAGGAACAGAGGATCCAATCGGATCTTGGCTGTGGATTCGGCTACTGCCTCTCTCCGTTTTGGCCACATTTGCATATTGAACGGCAGTTTGTCTTGAGCCTGAGCTTTTAGTTATGGCCAAGCATTAAATTTAACTATTAAGCCATTTTCGGAGGCCAGTTTTGTGGAGCTCGACTTTCCAAACATTGTCCCCTGACAGTTGTTCCCTATGGCAGTTTTTTTGGCCGGAATTTATGAGCCAAACAGACACAGAAAGATAGACAGAATGATTAACAAGAAATGGAGAGGCATGGGAACTTTGGATTGGCACACAAAAATGGTGAAGTGAAATGTTTAAAGTTTTATTGCCTCAAACATAAGTAAAAGGAAAATAAATGTGAATGAAGGATTTATTTGTTAAATCAATGGGAAAATGCTGGCACATCGAATGGAAGGTCTAACTGGGCAGCTACAGCCAAATACAATTGCAAGACCCAACTTAATTTTATCATAAAAATGCGAATTACACCCAGATGAAATTCATTTCTTGCAACTCAATCAAGAGGCATGCAACGGAGGCTGCTGACCTATATATGGTTAATAAGAACCAACTTACATGCCTGCATATATATGTAGGAATGCCTGTAGCAAGACCATACAGATATCCTCGTTACGTATTCCCCATATTGATATCTCTCCACCTCCGTTGCATTTGGGTTCGTGCAACAATTTTCGTCGAAAACAATTTTCAGAGCACGAGAGGAGGGGGAAAGATCAGCGCAGAAAATGAGAAATTTTTGCAGTGCATATATGCCACGCACGTAGAAACCAAACCAAACCAAACCAAACGAAACAGTAACAATCAGACAATCATGCACATAATCATGCCATCAATATATGGCAATTATCAATGAAATTTATAACAATCCACGAAATGTAACGAAAACTTAACCGACCAATAAAAATTTCATCTTTCAAAAAGGAGCCCAGGCTCCGCCGCCTGCGACTGCAGTTCGTCATCCTCGTTCTGCAAGCGAAGAAAAAAGCCTGAAACATGATCATGATCGAGCTGATGTTGCTGTTTTAGCCCCGTTCGCTTCGCCTTGTGATCTGCATCATAAAAACGTGCCAGATTGATGCGTGATTGAAATGCCAATTGGTTTCCAGTTGGACTCGGTCGCTCGGTCTTTCGGTTGGTTCGTCTCTTTCTGGTTGGAGTGTGCGTGCTGTTCCCGTTACCCTCCCAATCTGCATTGTCATCTTGGACAATTAGAACAAGCCGAGATCTCAAAGATACATTTATTTCGAGTGTGCTTTTTTTCACAGATCCATACCTTTATAAGAAAAGAAAAGTGGGAGGAAAGAGTCTGACAGGCAGCAGAGCCCAAAGATCTCGAAGAGGAAGAGCAGAATCAATCCGCTAGATAAACAGTTAGAGCCACGGCCAAAAGGGGCGGCTGGGGAAAGGGGGAGGGGCTGGGGTTTCCGTTGACCACTTACCGTTGGGAGAGGTTTTTGTCGCCATGACCATGACTTGTGGTCCGCATCCGTATGTGGGTCACACGCTCTGACGAGGGTTACCACGATTTCTTGACGGGATTCGTAATGTAACGGAAGCGGGAGTCACATTACCCACTTCAGCTGGATTGTTTCTGTTTTCCCTCTGATTCGACTACTGTGATTTATTTTCAAGAAAACTAATTTGACTTGAAACTATTTGGACAAGCATTTTGAAGACCTTTCTTTGTTCTGTTGAATTTGATATAATATCACCTTAGTGCCCTACAATATACACACATATAGTTAGAAGGTATTACAGAACTATGATCCTAAAATTAAAAATAATAAATTACAAAAAGAAGGGTAAACTTTGAGCAACTCCTAGTTTACAGAGTGTTACCCATTCGACTTGCTGCCATTTCATAAATATGCATGTTGTAGGTCTCTCGATGGCGTGCTGTCGCAGTTGGCTGATGAATGGAGTCTGCTGGCGCCACCGGGAACGGCCAGCAGAACTATCAAACTCCTCCGGATGGCTGGCCATCTAGGGCAACTTGATCGACTGCGTCTCGGACTCGGACTCAGACTCGGACTGGGGTTCAGATCCAGACTCGGTGAGGAAATATCAATGCAATAGCATCTGGCTGGGCCATTGCCTTGGCAATCTGCGATGAACAGCTTCTTTTACAGCGTCTGCAACTTCCTCTCTTATCGCTGGCAACAAATTGGCCATTTCAATTAATGAAACGCACTTAAACACTAAAGAGTTTTGTTGGCCGCTGTTTGCCACTCAAGTGTTGGCGCTAATGAACATGCTGGATCGTAAAAGATCGTCCTCTTCTTTTTTATTTTCCGGCCGCTCCTTGTTCCTCGTCCCGCTCCCATTTGCATATTTTGTTGTCGAGATTAAGCGCGTAAATTTGTCGTTAAAAATCATGTTTGAGATCGGCCTCAGAGACACACGCGATTGCTCAAACACAAAAAAAAGGGGGAAAATTTAAATCGAAACACAGGCAGCTGTTGATTTTTAACTGTTTCGGCTCCAGTTTGTTTCTCGTATTTTGATTGCGGGCCGCTCGATTTGATTGATGGCTGTCGCCTCACGGCGCATGCGCGGCATGTCTATGCCACTGACGTACTGATTTACCGTTGCCTGATAAGCAAACTAACGAAAAAGTTCGAGATCCAAAAAAAAAACGAGTGGCAATTACCTCAAGTGGAGCAGCATTTGGCATTTGCATAAATTGGCCTAAAACAAAAAAAAAACGGGGAAAAAATCAAGCCAAATGAAACGAAACGAGACGGGCAATGAAATCGGAGCTTTCTTCGTGACTGGCGACGCTTTCCCAGCGATCCGATCCGAGTTCCGAGTTGAGAGGGCCCCTATAATGAGAGGTCCCAGGGGTCACAGATGTCCAAAGCAATTGGATGTTACAATTTGCTTGGCCAACGACAAGTCAATTTGGGGTTAGTTGCCCTCGGGAGCGTTTTTTAACGATCCAACAACTATGCTTTCGGAAATAACTTCATTATTTTCAAAACCCTTATTTCACTAAAAAACTGTAAGATAATAAAAACCGATCATAATAGTTTAATTTCTAAAATATATACTAAACATGCTTCGGACTTTATCCAAGGTTCAAGTCTTTCCCATCATACGAAATATTAAATAAAATTAATTTTATACACCTTTCATATTTTTTTGCGCTTGACTCCTCCACCCAATTACCAAGTGGAGCATGGAAATGCTCTTAATCTCTCACTACCTAATTAGTTTATCTACCATTATAATTTTTAATTGGCTCTGCCCGCCGCAAACAAGAAGGAAAATGCTGTGTAGAAGAAGTGAAAAAATTCAATTGTAATTTTATGCAACACGCAGCCGCAAAATGATTTTCACAGCAAATTATGCGGCCAACCGCAGTTGGAGCCGAGGAACATGCAACATGGATTTCCCACGCATGCCCCAATGAATGGAATTGAAGAGGGCCAGAAAATATACATAAGCATATTCAAGTCTATAGAGCAGAAGCCACTTCCGCGAAAAGAAGAAAATAAATTTGCGTTTTTGATTAAATCGTGGGATAGATCAAAGCCACCTTATCAAAAGTTGGCCAAGCAGGTGAACTGGTCGGGGCTACGTTTTAACCAACGTGGGACGGAATCTGTTAGGTGTTCAGGCTTTAATTCCCTCTATGGGAGAACTGAAATTTTGTGAGAATTAAGATTCTAAGAATGACGGAAGTTGTGCTTGATGAAAGGTAAAGATTACGTTTCACAGTTGATGTACCTGAGTTTTTTTATTGATTCTATTTTCAGGATTCTACACCTTAAATGAAGATTCAAGCAGGACCCTAAAAAGAATTTATGTAAGTAATCAATAAAGCATGAAGTGATTTCAAACAACCAGATATACAATTTTGTAATCTCGGCACAGTTAATGGCACTGGAAGAATTCACGGGGTAATTTTTATACAACCCGTGATCTCTTAGTGGCATCTATGGTGCGGGAACAAAACATCCAAGTGAAACAAAATACAAATCAATCTATGGTTCAAAATGTGTTAATGTGAACTGCATTAAATCGGTAGGTTTTTGTTTGTATGAGAGTAAATTAATAATTAGAGTGGACTCATTAGCACCTCAAACTTCAAAGTCAGCCCCAAAACAATCTAATTCATAAATTCAAAATCTAAACCAAGGAAAACCTTTCCCCAAAAAATTGGAAAAAAACGAGAACGAGAAGTGAGTGGAGCGGAACGAGTTGATGGAGAGTTTATGGGGCCGGACATGGAGGCAGCCTTGAAAAATCACCTTTCACACCGCCTAGAGTTCCCGGTTCTCTCTTATTTTTTGCCCACAATTAACAGTTCAATGAACCAGGCCGTCGACTCTTCGTACCCGTGGTCGTGTCCCTTGAAGTTCCAGCCCAGCGGATGAAAGAAGAAACGAACACACAAAGTACCAATCTCCCGAAGAATAGCACAAAACCCATGGATAATAGCCCAATGGAGCTGTTGGGCATGCCATCACTACAAAAAAAGGAAAATAAAGACTCACATACAGATACAAAAAAAGAGCGAGTGAGGTACAAAAAAAAGATAATTAACTTTTTTTCTTTTAGCACTAAGTATGCCAAAGAGGAAGCACTAACAACAGCAACAGCAACAAATTACAACACATTACAATGGTGGGGGGTTCGGCCAGTGTGAGAGAGTTCCCTTAAGAAAGGGGTAGCCCGTCTCTTTCCGTCCGGTATCCCCGTCTTTTTCCCCGCTAAACGCTTCAATGATTTTGTCATGCATAAATTTCGCAGGTCTGCTGAAATTTCTGCACTCTGCCAGCCAAGAATCAAATAAATTCCGGCACAGACCTCTTTTTCCCTTCTGGCCAAGTTCCGCTCGAGCACTTTTGAGCGGGAAAAGGGGCTTGTAATGATGATGCTTCCTGTTTGTCGGCCGCACATATATTTATGAAACACCTTTCGCGTTGATAAGTCCCAGACGGAGCTACAATTGAAGCTTGTACTTAATTATGTCTGGTACGCCGACCCGGCTTTTCTTTGATCTTCTGATGAGAAAGAATTTGGAGAATTGAGAAGGAATTTTAGCAACTATTCACTTGATATTAAAAGGTAAACTAATAGGTAATATAAAAGAATGTGGACAAATTATAATTAAAATGTAATCCTATAGGAAAAGTTTGAAATGACTTGGTAAAGAGTTTTTTTTTTTTTGTATTTTGGAATACGCTTAAGCTACTTATTATTGTGGCATTTCTAAACATAAATTTTATACTAAAACGAAAAAGTAATCCTAAAGGGGAAGCATTGGGCCACATCCAAAATATTTTTCTATATCATTTTCTTTTAAGAATAAAACAAATCTAAGTAATATTTTTGTAATATACCTTAAATGTATTGGGATTTTTTAATTTTGAGTTGTATCAGATGACAGTTGCGAATTAGGTAAACAAATTTATTTGAATTTCCTGAGTGAGTGAAATGACACCTAAACAAATAGATTAAGTCATACCAAAAAAATAAACATTTTAGTCCATTTGTCTCGTAAGGTAAATTATAAAACATTAAACGGTTTTTTAGTTATCAGGCTGGTTTATAGCTTCATAAACTCCTTCGATAAATCGAGTAACAAAGTACTTCAATGTGGCTAACGAGCTTCAACAAAGTTGTACATTTTTCGTGGTAAATATAATGATATTATTAATACGATCTGCATTCCATTGTTCTATTATATCAGTTACGGAAGAAAATCCAGCCAGATGGCAAGGAAAACAAATTGATTGGCGGCAAATGGTTTAAATTTCTGCATAATTCAATCCGCACGCGTTCTGGTTTTAGTTTCGGCAATTTTCTCCTCCTTTATTTTCCCGTAGACACAGCTGCAGAAAATGGTCAAGAAAACTTGTCGGAGAAAGGGGGGGACCAAGGAGGGGAAGTTGTTGGGTCTGCTCCGATTCGCAATCATTAAATAGACGACAGGCGAAATCGAAATTGCAGTGCCAAAGTTGCCGCCTGCTGTTGTACCAGTTGCAATTTTTTCTTAAGCAGTGATGGGAAAATACATTTTCTTAGGTACGTACCTGGTACCTTCTTATTAAGGTAGGAGGTTCTAACCTTAACCAAAAATGTACATTAAATAATCGAGTCTTTATTGTAAAAATGAATTAGATTGTCTAGATGCTCTCAAAGTCTGATTGAACGCCCAATATAATTATTAAAACTATTTCAGGTTTAGTGAATCAGAGTCCCAAACAAACTATTTACACTGCGATGTAAGCTAAGTACCTATTGTAAAGGCTTTTGAAAAATCCTAACAACTTTATATTCTATCATTTTATTTCGCTTTCACAATCGTTTGAAACTTCGACTTACCCCTGGTCTCTATTATATAAATTAAAACTTCGTTAAAGCAGAAAGCCAAATTAAATAAATTAGGAAAAATAGCAATTGTATTTTATGTTATGTATTATTTTTAAATACACGTACACTTAATTTCTTAGTACTTAAAGTTTTTATTAAATTGGTAGGAATCATGATTAATTCACTTCATATTATGAAAACAATAAATATATAATTATCCGTTTCTTTTTTTAACAAGATGGCTTTAATCAAATTTGTACCTACTCAAGCTTTGAGATTACAATATTCATTTGTACCTTGATCCTTCCCACCACTAATGGCAACTTGTTGTTGCTGGTGTCGCAGGGTTGTTGGGAAAATTTGAAAATTACCTTTAATCAGAGCGAAAATGAGATGGCTAATTTGAGTGTGCCGGAATCGGAATCTGGCTGGAAAATGGAAAATGCCGACTGTGGGAATTGCCGTTCTTGTCAATTCGGCCAGTGGGAAAACTTTTTGGCGTGGGTGGGCGACAGAGACAGCAGCTGTGCGTTGGAATGTGTCCCTCTCGTTCCCGCTTCTTTGATCTTAACTTGATGAGAACTGGACCTGGTTCACATAAACAAAAGAAGTTGCTGGCTATGTTATGCAAAATTGCCACACGGTAAGAAAGTGAACTGTCCTTTGAACATTATGTTCAGATTATTTGATACCATAAAACACTTGCAGATTTAAGAATAAGATTCCCATTTTAAAAATGATTTGAATAAAAAAAATAATCAAATTTTTGTTCGTTTATAGCTTCTTTTAGAACCCTCGAAAACAATCAGAACTATCAGACAAATATTATTAAATGTTCAATTGTACAACTTAATATGCACTTCATACTATGCAGATTGAAGGTCTTATATACTTGTTAACTTTTTTAAAAAGTTTAAAATATAAATTAAAGCTGTTACCCTGAAAATATGACATTTCTTACTTAATTTACTTAATTTTATTGAATGTAACTCGAATTTTCTTTGTGTGCAGACAGAAAGAGAGGCAGCTAGCACGCGTTTCGCTCGCCTGTTTTGATCTATGAGCTGCGATTACGAGGCGCAGCTAAAAGCTGCACAAATAAAGCGCGGCGATCTCCACAAGTTGATCCCCAAGTGAGGCAGCTGTTGCTTTTTTCTGATGCTGCCAGTAGTTGCAAATGATGATGAGGCAGCGGCAACAACAACAACCACAACAACGCGACTCAGGCCAGGAGGCCATGACAAGCGACAAGTTGTCGTTAGGCCCAAAATTAGATGCATTTTGTATGCCAGGCATAGATCGCTAGCGAGGGCAATAGCTTACACTGTGAAAAAAACAAAAACCATGCCATTAGTATATTAAATAGAGGTTAAGCAACCGAAAATATCAAAATTTCCGGATAAATTATCTTAAAGATCATTCTAAGCAGAGCCAAAAAAGATACCAAAAATACTCCAAATATATTTGATACAAAAACTATTCTGCTAACTTTATTCTTGTCATAAAATTCGAATTACCCATTGTGATTCTTCATTGTAAAAAAGTTTAGAAGTGTCTTTTAACAAAATAGCAATAATTAAATGAAATGCTGCTGAAAACAAAAGGTTTCAAATTCAACATTTATTGAGATAGTTATACTGAAGAATGTAGATAAATTATAATTTAAGGAGTGTTTTTGTTTTTCAGTGTTTCCATTCTCCTATGTGGGATAGAAAAGGGTACAGAGCGCGAAGGCTGCAGTTATGGGCTTAGGGTAAACATTTGGCGACGCATCAATGCAGCTGGCCCAGAGTAACAACAACAGCAGCAGCAACAACACCATCGAAAACACCAACCAGCAACAACAACATTAAGCTGCGACTGCATCTCAGAGCCTGTGGAGTGTGCAAATATTTTAGCAGCAATTTTCAGCTTAAATGCCTGCAAAACGAGGCGCATCGTGTGCCCAACAGCTTTTGGCGGCTCAGAGGTTTTTCTTTATTTTTCCCCCAGCATCGGTAATATAATTATGTCCAGAAGTTTACAACGACAGTAGGAAAATACATATTTTTCATTTACATCAGCAGCTGTTTATTAATTTATAGAGCTGTCAGAATTGGTTAGCTATAAATAATTGTTAATTTTCACTTTTAGTTTATCGGTAATTTTAAGAGTCCATTACTGAAAAAATTGATCATTTTGCTCAAATCTTATCTATACTGATACAATAAGATATTTGATATTACAACTGACCAATCTCAACTCAGCTATCTGATCAAGTGGCTTACCATTTTTATTTTATACCAAGTAAAGCTCTTTTAGCGATTAGTTGGCATATATTAGATTTGGCTATATTAAGACTATATTTAAAGGTAGCATTTAGATAAAAAGTATAAACAAGAGTTGCATTGAACAAATTTGAAGCTGAATTTGCTGATCATTTTAATTTAATTTTGAAAACAAGTCTGACATTAAAAAATATATATAAAAATAGATTTTATTTAACATGAAAAAAATTAAAAAGAAAATTAAAAACATTGTGACAAAGAGGCTAAGCAATGGGCACATTTAAAGTGAAACTCCTTATATCATTTATTATCTTGTAAAGAACCAATGTCTTGTATAACACCCAATTAGTGGGAACCACACGCAAGGGGGGTTGCTGAATCCGATTACCTGCCAATTAAGTAATATCTAAAATGAGTTATAAAAACTTCATAACCAGATAGATCGATTCGCAGTCGCTCTCTAACGTTCTGAATCTCTCTCTGGGCTTCGGGGAATTTCCTAGCGTTAATTATTAAGCGGCGTACACGTGATGGCAATGACTCTTGCTATCGGTTCATAGAGATCAATGCAAAACAGATACCCAGTTCTCAGACCTCTCAGCACTCATATTGCGTCAATGAGTGACGACATCGAGGCGGATCTTGAAAGATTCCTTAATTTTAGTCCAAAGTTTGGGTTTGTTTTGTCCCTGAAATTGTGCAGCAACCCCGTTCCCGATTCGAATTCCGTTATGCCCCCGTTTTTCGAAATCCGTTGCGTGCTGATTGATTTTATGCGAATTTCCGATACAAATTTATTAACAATTCAAATTGCAAGTTAAAGTTAAAAACTCAAGGCAAAAACAACGTCAAAAGAGAACGTAGTTTGAGAGTCAGCGGATGTAAAACTGTTTGGTTTGAGTCATTGCTCAGTATCGGCTTAAGCTGTGACACTAACCTATGAGGTGAGTTCAGTTGTCCACCACAAATGGCTGGGATGAATTTTGATTCATAACATTTATTTTCATTTTGGCTGTTTGATCTTCATAAATATTTGATTTTCTTCGAAATCTTTTTGTTTTCCCTTTACTTTTCTTGCAATGTGTCTAGCAACTTAAGGGCTTGCAAAAAAATGAAGATTTGTTATCTGAGGCTTTCGCAAATGAATCCGACTTAAAAAAAACGAAATATTCGATTTGTCACTAAAAATCCGTTCGCTTGTAATTAATATTTTACAATTGGCATAAACATCCAATTTTCTATATTTGAAATCTTTTTTCACAATTCTTAAAGTAAATTCTTGGACATCTGAAACAATTAAGATCATTTAGCATTTATAAAGGTACAAAATAAGTAACCAATGTTGAGATAAAGTGTCGAACTATTTCTTGAACAGAAATCAAACTTCGATACAAAAATTGAACTCATTTCCAAGCGGAAAAGCTCGATACATTATCTTTAATTAACGTTTAAAGTGTTTTGACAATGGCTTCATAGTAAAACAAGAAAAGAAGTTAAGTTCGGCAAGCCGAAGTTTGTATACCATTGCAGTAATAATTATTAAATT